TCTCGACGGATCACACAGACTGCTAATTAAAAAACTCGGCGTCGCGACGCCCTTGCTCGCTCCCGCGCGAAACGCGCGCCGCGCTCTCCCTTTCGCGAGGCAGCCGCGTAAGAAACCTTTCGCCTTCTCCCTTTCATTTTCTCGTCGGCCCGCCATCATCACCGCCGTTGCCGCCGCCGCCGCCGCCCCCTTTTGCTACCCTCTCACGCGCGCTGCATACCTCTCTCATCCAATAGCCAATGAGTTATGGGGGCCTTCCTCTCTTTTTCTGGAAAGAGCTTCACACACACACACACAGCTTCTTTCTTCCTTTCCTTCTCGCCGCGCGGGACCGCGGGAGCAAAAATACACGGGATCCCGCGGAGAAGAGATCTCTCGCGTATGAGACGCGTTATCCTTTTCACAGCTTCCACCCTCGAAGGAGAGATGGAAGAAAAAAAGGATTTTCTCTTTAGCTCTCTCGGTCGATCCCCTCTTTGAAGGAAAATCCTTTAAACCGATTATTAATAAAACTGGCGCATCATTTCGCGCGGAATCTTAACGTCGCTTTTAGCTACTACTACTACGTGCGCGCGCGCCAGATTAACTTTTGTTAAAAAAAATTCTCGCGCTCAAAGAAATGCTAATAATATTAGATATTTCTCGCGTCCGCGGACATAATCTCGATGAAACATCGTAACGAGATATCGCAAATTATATATATCGAAAGTAACAATAAATAAAAAAAAAAAAAACGAACCTTCGAGAACCTTCGAGAATCAATTAAATCGTTTTATTCGCGAATCAAGTTTGATAATTACGGAGCCGACTCCGTAAGAAGTGCAGCGAAAGGGTTGAGCCGAAAGTTGGAGGATTAGCAACCGACGTATAGCTCTAGCAACTTTGCAACTTCTCAATCGCCTCTTTTAATATGCAACTTTACTTGTTAAGATCGCGATTATAGAATTTTTTTTTCGAGACCAAGTATTTCCGACGGACGTATAATAATAATAATAACGGCACATTGTGTCCTGCAAAGGATAAAAAAAATTCCTCAAGTGGCATATTAATTAAATTATCTCACAATGTATTTCTTGTAAACATTATTTGTAAGATAACGATGTAATGCGATTGTCAACAAGTCAGGGAAAAAATTATATACGGTGTTCGCAACTTGTGCGGGAGACTCGCGGAAGAGATACGTAGAAGAGAATCTCAGAACATTTGTACGCGAGAAACGGGGAGGATAAAAAAAAAAAAAAAAAAAAAGAAAAGAAACAGAGGAATAGCAACGGTCACGAGTGCATTGTGCAGGCTGCCAGTGGTGGAGACCCGCGCCAGCACGAGAGAGAGTCTTGCATTTTCCTGCTTCTTTCTTCTCTCTCCTTTCCCTCGCGTTCTCCTTGTCCCGTGTGCGTATTCTCGCTGTTACTCCCGGCGGGATCTCTCGAATCCTTCGTCCTTCCGCGCGCGTGTCTTTCTTTCCGTACCGCCGACTTTGCCGCCACCTCGCAACCACCACGGTCGCCGCACATTTTCACCGCGCCTTTTTTTTTTCAACTATCCCACCGTCCGTTCTCTGTTCTCTTCCCCCCCGCGGTTCAACGTGGGCGCATTTCCCGCGGCTTTCCCTCAGCTGAAACTGCGGATGCGCCGTCAGATAGGAAACCACATGTTGCGGTTTTTCATGCCGCGCTCGCCACTTTTATATAACGCCACGAGATTTCCGCTGGTCCGGGGAGGCAATATCTAATGGAATTTTTTTTTTTTTTTTTTTTTNTTTTCTCCGATTACGAGCTGAACGGGTCTTCTAATGAGAATCCGACAAAAGTCTTCGGCGCGTCGAGTCGATCTTCTATCGTCGCGCGCGTTTTTTTTTTTTTCACCGTCGCGTCGCGCGGCTCTTCACCGATTATTTTTGTCCTTTCATCTGATAATCATTGCGAGTTTCTTTCTATTGACTCTGTACAGGCAAAATCAAGAAAAAAGATATTTACTGAAAAAAATATTAATTAATAAGAATATTAATTAAAAAGAATATTTATTACTTTTTTTTATTATGAATACTACTGTTTCTGTACTGAGAGAATCTTTGTTGCGTTCGATTCAAGTATATTAGCGATAAAATTATTGCGTATATTGTTTTTTCGGATTGTTACAGAGCAAATGTTGCACATTAGTGTTCGCTAGAAATGTCATCGTCCTAGCTAGAGGTGTCGATTTTATATCGATTTAATCAGTCTCAAAAGAATCGATTTTTGACGATGTTTTTTTCTTATATCGATCTGTGAATCGATTCAAAAAAGCAAAAGATCGACAACCGATTTTTTTGCAAAAAAGTAGTTTGACAGACTGCTAATGAATGTATGATTTACGTAAGTCTGGCTCGCTGTCTTTAAAAAAATATTTTACGTAGTTTTTTTTACCAAGATAAGATTGCGTTGCGTTGTGGAAATCGCAAGCTTCTCAACTACACTGTACAAAGTGACAAAGAGAATCAGGGCGGATGAAAAAACTCGTCTGTTTTGCGCATATCCTATCAGAAAGCTTCTTCACTTCACAGCCATTGGCTGTCAGCAAGTGTTTGCAATGTTATTGTCGCTATTTTTAATTATGATTTCTATAGGCGCATTAGAAATCGCTCTTTTAGGCAAAAGCGTTATATTTAATCTAACTTGGGCTGCGCTCGAAAACATCACTCGCGTGCACACGAACGTCATTTATCCTTTTTCTTCATTAGATATAAAAAACAAAGATAGAATCTGTTCATGTGCACACGAGTGATGCCCCCGAACGCAAGCTTGGTGTCATGTGAACTGGCTAAAATAATAGCTTTAAAATGTCGATTTTTTGAATCGATCTCAAAAAATCGATTTGTTTTTTTTGGTCGATTTTTTCTAAATCGATTATTTTTATTCCGATTTAAATCGATCCCAAAAATCGATTTTTTTAATTAAAAATCGACATCTTTAGTCCTAGCGACTGTAACAACTATGGGGACACGGCATTTAAATGCTTTCTCCTTTTCTCTCCTTTCTTCGTTGTCGGCTTTTAACGGCCGCGGCGCCGCCCGCCTTACTTCCACGAATGGAAGGTAGCTCTCTCTCTCGTCGAGTGTTTCGTCCTTGTCCTCTTCTCGCTCAAACCTACGCCTATTCCAATTTCGGAGATTATTCTCTCTCTTTCTCCTGTACTTCGCGCCTGGACGGGACCACCTCTCGTACTCCATTGCTCTTTCTCGCTCTTGAATCTCCCGCGCCCAACTCGCGTCCCGTCTTTCTCACTCCCGTCACCTCTCTCTGTCGCTCGCTTCCGCAAATGTTCGGTCCTTGTCGGTTCATGACGATTCGTACGTTCTCGCTCTAACTCGTGCGTCTCCGAGAGCGCGCCTCCCCCTTCTACTATCTCGCGCGGCGCAACCGGCGCTCATTTCAGTCTATGTTGAGTCGCCACGCGGGTTGGTCGGAATTTCACGATCTCCGTTTCAAATCGTCGCGCTTATACGCCACGGTAGGTCATTCATCCGTTTGTTTTTGTTGCCTTTACGCGCGCGAGATATTATCGCGAACTCCAATCGCGTGTCTCTCCGGCACGGGCGCGCGTTCGTCTCGAAGGAAGATATTCCGTATAAAAAATCGTTCGCCGGCGAATATGGTAGATTCTCGCGACGATGATCATCCGGTATTACGTTCCGCGTGAAGTGCGTTGCTCTCGATCCGGCCGGATTGGCGACCAAGTGAATCCGATAGTGTGACGTGTGTCGCGCGAGATCATCCTCCATTCTTCTTCCTCTTCCTCCTTCGTCCTCCTCTTCAGTTGCATTATTGTTGATCGTCCCTGGTACACACGCTCTCGTCTCATCTCTACGCCCGCTTATTATTTTGCTGCGCATTATTCATTCAGCCACACGGATACACGGCGACGGGGGAACGCGGCGTCGTTAGACATCGGACACACAGGCCCGACGACCAGCCGCGAACCACGACATGGATTTCGTCATATTGAAGGTAAGGTAAGGTTTCTCCTTTTGTCCGGCTTGTGCGCGTTCTCGGAATCTCATACACACGTTACTTCTTGAGCGCGGCTCAGATACGCGACAATATTCGCTCGCTTCCTCACATTCGAGATAATCTTTCTACATATCGCGTGTGTTTATCATTTTCTATATTTAGTAACGAGTTAGTTTCAGAATATTTTGATGGATTTGTTTTTTTTTTTTCTTCTTCAAAAGATATACGTTAGATGTGTGTGTATTGTTGTACATATATATATATATATATATATAATTATATATATATATGTATTATGATAAATGTCTTCGTAGTTTTTATCTTAAAATAAATATTGAGAATCTTATCAGTTTTCAATTCACTAGATTGACATTGTTTTACCAGTTCTACTTGTAAATATTTGCGTATTGTGACAATGTCTCTCTCTGCGAGAGAGAGAAAGATAAAGAAAGCGGCGTTCGCTATTTGTCGTGAAAAGCACAACAAACACCCTAAAAAAAATAGATTAAGTAAACTAAAAAAAACTCTAGTGACTCTTCGGAGTTGAAGTTCTAGCTGAAAGTATACGTATATTTATTTAAAATGTCTTCGTTAGTTTTTTTTTCTAGTGACACAATTACTTATTGTAATACGCGCTCCATTTTCTAACGCTCGGAACGTTGAAAGCCAACTTCGGAGCGTAAGCAGCGATGCGCGCGCGTGCGATATCTCGATTATTAAAAATATGTCTGCCTTTTTTTTTTTTCGTGTCCATCTCTTCGCTGCGCGATTGTTGACCGATACAATACGCCGAGGAAGAAACATCCGAGTGTTGCAGAAATTCGCGAAAAGCCGTTTTAATCGTTCGCGATCTTTCGACGTGCAGACGCGACAAGAGTGGAACTTCCCCCGTGTGGAAGAAGCATCGCGTCGCCGTATACACTCTCGAGTATTCATCGCGCCAAACGTGCCTTATCCTCGTCCATATCGTGGCTCTTGAGACGAGTCGTGCTCTCGGCCTGTGTAGGAAGTTACGAACACGTTGCGCGAACAAAAAGCAACCCATCCACTCGTTAACTCGTTTGCATCAAGCCTAGAGATAGTGCCGAGTCAATTACCGATGAAAAGTAAAGCAAATGGGAAAATATTTTATAAATACAGCTTTTTTTAAAAACAAAAGCAATATACGTGTTTTGTAAATTAAAGTTAAAGAGAAATATAAGCGCGAAGGGGGGAAATATAATTTTTTATATCGCATATTTTTTAACCTGTGAGCGCGATATGTGTCTGAGAGATGTAATTTAAAAAAAAATAATACGAAGAACAATGACGTACAGAAATTCAAAAAAAAAAAAAAAAATATTGAGCGATACGAAGATTAAAAAAACAATTACAAAAATATTGCAAAATGTTACATATACCTATTTATCGGATTTGTCGCGGCTTTCGCTGAGTAGAAAAAAAAAAAAAAAATTGTCGCGTCAAATTTAATCCCGAAGAAATTAAATGTTCGCATGTTTTTTTTAATTTTAAAAAACGGATACAAATGCAATTTACGAAATGGTTGTAAACAAACATGGCGGACACGTAGAGCGTTACATTGAAATCGCATTAGACTACTACAGCGAAGTTAATAATGTGCTCCGAATGTGTTAAAGGCCGGTCCAACGGCCATAGACAAGAACGAAATCGATTAAGCGCTGATCACATTCATTTCCGTCCTCCGTTCATGTTGCGCGATTTGAATAACGGGTCATTCGGTGACCACGTCTGTTCGGCGAAATGACATTTACACGTTGTTGAATGCGCGTGCGCGCGAGCGCACGTAAGCACGCACGCACGCACGCACGCACGCTTCGCACGCGAACGTTTCAAAGTGTCCCGGGCGAGAGAGAGAGAAAGAGAGCGCATTACGATGCATTTACATCCCGAATAATAATACACATGACGTTTATGGACCCGTGGTCCAGACGTAAATACCGCGCCATTAAGCGACTCGCTGCTATTGGCGACGTCGAATAAGCTCCGAAAGCACGCCCGATAAAATGAATATTTGCACAACGTGTTGCGCAAAAATATCGAGAACGGTATGACGGGCGTTGAATTATATTCCAATACATGTATATATATATATATATATATTTTTTTTTTTTTAATACGAGTGCGCGTGTACGTACATGTGCGCGAAATTCTCGCTCGAGAAAAGGCCGAAACTTTATTTAACTTTTAACGCTGGTAGTTGTCACGGTTCGCTATATTAGAACAAATCTGTCGCTCTTCAGCGTTAATATAATATATAAATATATAGAATATATAGTAAAAAAACGATGGTTCTCTATCGTACAGAGAAATATTTGATACATGTGATTGAGATTACTTCGAGTAACGCATTTGTGATAAAAACGCGTCTGGATAAACATAAAGAAATTCGAGAAAAAAACAAGTTAACTCGCGTCTTTTTACCCGCGCGCGAACAGCCGGTGCATAAATGTTTGCAAAATACGATTTTTAAGTTTGAGAAAAAATATTTCAACGATTTTATATCGTGCAATAATTTTGCGATACTCTCGTGCAAACCGAGAGTCATATTCCCGCAGAGTGACGTTTTCACATATATTGAACGCTGTGTCTAAAAGTATCGAAAAATCTGAGAGATTCGAGACCGCATGTGCGCATTTAGTTTTCTCTCTCCGCGTATAAAAAAACTGAGATGATCTAGATCGGTCGAGTGTGTGCGCGCGCGCGCGGGGCGTTGTGCTCGGAAGGGTTAAAGGTCCAAAACATGCGATCTCTTGCATCGATGAGCGCCGAAAGCGAGTGTTTTCCGAGGCTGCGGTATGAAAGAGAGAAACATGGGAAAGAGAAAAAAAAAAAAAAGAAGAGGAGAGATTTTATATCGCGCGTCACAGGTTAAGGGGTAAACGTTCTCCTTTGGGTTAAGAGGTTAGATCGCTCGCACACACTCGCTCCTCGCCATCTCCGATTTTATTATTTTTTTTTTCGTTAATTTTTTTGCGGGTACACGCGCGCGGTAATTACACGAGCGATATTCCGGTTATCGGTGTCGCGCTTCGAAATTTCGCTTCGAAATTCGCGAAACATTCTTGCATGACGCCGTCATTCTCCGCTCTTTCGGTTCCCGCGTCCGCGACGCTGATGCGTATTTTATGGTGATAAAGTTGGGTCCGGTTGGTCGATGTTTTGTAATTTTTTTTCCGCGCTCGCGAGAGTATAAAATATTTTTTTTATTTTTCCCGAGCGAGCGCTCGCGAAATAACGCGTAGCAATTGCGTTCGGATTCTGACACGACAAACGCCGGTGGACAACAATATGTGTATTGATATCAACAGATTTGTTATTTTAATCGTTTTCAACGTTATTTTAATCGTTTTTTCAACAAAAGTCAGTCATCCGACGAGGGAGAATCCGGTCGGTTCGCGCGATAATACTTCATTTTCGCAAAGGTGCCGCTTCCGATATATAACTGCGGAAGTTGGTCGTATTAGCCGTCGACGACGACGACGACGACGACGACGACGACGATGACGATACCTCGTCCCGAGTTCACGAATCTTTCCTCTTGCAAACTTCTCTCCCCTGCACGGTTTCTACGAACGATGATTACACCCGAAGGGGAGGAGGAAAACGCGCGCAAAACTTCTTAATAGCATAGCAAGAATATTTTTGTGACACACTCGATAAAATTCGGAGTGATTCGCGAGAGAGTTGATTCGCGCGCGTTGCCGAAAGTTTGATTTTATTCAAATATACAATAGCAGATTATAATTGATGAACTAAATTTATATATTTTATTCTTTTTAATATTATTCTCGGTTATTACGTTTCTTCGCCGTGTCTTTGCAATTAAAGTAATTCCAGGATCGATAAAAATTAGTCATCGTAGTTATATGTCGTTGATATTCAGTTTAAAAAGTTTGCACTCAAAAGTTTACATCCTGTATCAAAGAAATGTAGCGCGATTATACGAAAAGCAAAAATTCTATCCGAATTTCGCATAATTGATCGCAAAGTCAAAGTGTCGATTGAAAATTCGTAATTTTAGTTCGTTTTAAGTAAAAAAGTACAATCGCGCTTGATGAGAGTTTTATCTTCTTCTCGTTGGACCGTAATTCGCGATGCTAGAATTTTAAAATGCGTGCCTGCTTCTTTGTCTCTCTCTCTCTCTCTCTCTCTCTCTCATCTATATACGTAATACATGTGGCGCAATTGCAAATATATTACGACCTAGCCGCGATACCCACACAAGCCGCGAGTGCGTTTGCCTCGGCACAAGTACGGCATCATTACGGTTCAACCCACGCTTATCATTCCGAGAAACCAGGTGTACGATAAACAATGATAAACGGGTTTTCACGGAGCTGCCGGTGGTTTTACGGTATCAGGCCGTTCGTCGTGAACAGGGAAAAAGAAGAGACGGGGCGGCGATGAACAGGGGCCGCTTTTTATGACGGGAATATCTTCTGTTTATTTTTGTCTTCCGTGATTATTTCCCCTTCCCAAAGTGCTGTCAAAATAACGAGATATGAGTTTCTTAATAATTCCGCGTACGTTGTGACGATTCGTGGCGGTATCATGTGTGGGGTATGATAAGATTTTTTACTTTATAATTTATTCTGTAATTTGTGTGTAAAACTCATGAAAAAAAAAAAAAAAAACATACAAATTAAAAAAGAGGAACATACTATATATATATATATAAAAATTCACGCAAAGGCGAGGGCTTCGTTTATTATTATAATCGGTCTAAATACGTGTACGAGAAAAGCTTAGTTCGTCAGTTTCTAAATATAATGCAGTCGTTTACATTGCGCGAAGTAGATTCCCCCGTCCGTGTAGGGTACATATTTCAGCCGGGATCGAATATGAAAAAATATGCGGTCAAGCATTATACACTCGCTCGGTCCGTACAAACGAACATGGAAATTATAATTCTAGGATGAGAGCAGTTCGTAGAGGACCGTGTGTAGCGGAGAGATCGTATAGGAGCCTAAACACGC